AACTTATACATGTACATGTACAAATTTTTTAGAGACAGTTTTGAGCAAACTTACCATTAATTAGGTGTACATGTACATGTACATGTATGCATATCATTGAAATGACATACAATGTGCTGTGTACATTACTATTATCAATATTGTCCTCCAAAAGGTTATTACATTAGGAAGGTTGTATCTATTAGCTTGGGATTGCTTTTGGCTTATCTCAGTATTCCTGTTGTACAGAATCTTCTCTCCAGTAGACAACAAATGAATACTAGCTTTGAACCATTGAGGATTATCAACACATACGGAGCTTTTGGCAGGTAAACTATTATGATTGCCATGATAGTGGGGAAATTTTGTAGCCAAAATTTTATGTGGATTTTACGTTCATAAAATTTATGAAATTTGAATAAATACAGTTCAAGATGGCTGAAGAGCAGAAAATCACAAAAATTAAAGTCACAAAGTCAATTTATGATAGATTCACAAAATTTTTGGGCCACGAAAATCTTTCGCTACACACTACATGTATGTCTTTTTGTCATTATTATAATACTTTTTTATTATCCTAGTGTTACTAAGGAACGAACTGAAGTCATTATTGAGGGGACCTATGATTTTAATTTTGGAAAGAATGGTGAGGGGGCCGACTGGGAGGAAATTGAATTCAACTGTAAGCCTGGTAATGTATCAAGAAGACCTTGCATCATATCTCCTTATCATTATCGTCTTGACTGGTTGATGTGGTTTGCTGCATTTCAGGTACACTTTCAAATAGTTTAGAGGTACATGTACTTACATGTACAATTACTGGTACTATTGATTGCTAAATTTTGCTATTGGAGTATATCAAATTATTAATACACAATAATCATTAGTTAACTCAAATGTGCATGTGTACAGATTGAATTGAAACATGTACATGTATGTGTACATACATGTAGTTCTTACCCTCAGTGATTGTGGTCAGGCCAATGATCTTATATTATGGTCAGTTTACAATATTACACTAGTCCTGACGTTACACTGATGCTGGAGTTAAATTTAATTCAACTCTAGCATAAAGCATGCATGAATAGGTCAATACGCCCACGCTTTTGATTAAACTTAATTTAATGATAGTACACTGGCCTAGCATCATATTGTAAATCTACAATGTAGCTTTATACATTAATTTTTGTTATTTTATTTTTAATAGAGTTATCAACATAATCCATGGCTACTACACTTTTGTGCTAAACTACTTGCTGGAGATCCTTCACTTAACTCACTCATTGCTCACAATCCTTTTAAGGAAAAGCCACCAAAGTATGTCAATTCAATGAAGAGAGTGGGAGAAGGAGTGGGTGAGAGTGTGAATAGAAGCTAATTATCATAATGTCTTCCTACAGTTTTGTGAGGGCATTGCATTATCAATACAAGTACACCAAAATTGGAAGTAAAGAATCAAAAAGAGGTCAATGGTGGAAGAGAAAGAAGAAAGGAGTGTATCTTCCAATCATCAATATTGATTCACTTAAAGACATAATGTCAGGGCAAGGCTGGAAGTGGTACAAGGACAGTAAATAGTTAATGTATTTTCACTTTTGTTATTATTATTTTCCTTTCACTTTTTCACATGAAATTAACAGTTAAGGCTGGGAACCGGCCTAGTGTGAATGTTATCTGTTAACTTATTGAGTAAAATTTATTTCTAGATCTACATGTAAAATTTACGCCATGCAGTCATGCTTGGACCATTTTATAGTGATGGGCGATTCCGAGTCCCGAGTATTTGATCCTTCGATTCCGAATGGAATTGTACACGTATCGAAAGAGAAATGAGAGTCGTTTGAAACAATTCCGAATTAATTCTTGATGTTAATTGAGCGAAGCCCACTAAAGCACTAACGAGAAAAGGTCCGTCTTTATGCTAACTATTATTAATGTTAAATAGCAAGCGGGTGTGGTCACAATGAATTAAATTTAAAATGGCGGCTATAACCAAGCTTTTGCTCATTGCAGCAAACCGCAAACAGGCAGCAAGATGAGACTAAACTGCTATCCAAAATCTTCTCTAGCAGTAAGGAAGGTCATACAGCCCAAAATAGTGTCGCTCGAGGGCTAGCTGAGCCCCTTTAAATGTTTTACATCATAGTTAATAAACCACTAGTTAGCTGAGGTCTACCACGTGTTTTTGCGCATGCGCAGATGTAGGACTCTGGATTCGCATCGCCTACAAGGGCCCAATTCCAAATAGATACTCCCACCTTTAAAGTAAAGGTGGGGCTTGTGTTGTTAATGCAATCGAGCTTGCTCGCCTAGCTTGATCTTGTGTTTAGTTACTTGTGCTGGCTTGCCTTTTCTATTGTCATCTGTCTTGCTGCTATATTGTGTAGAAGAATCGAAGGCTAACTCTAGGCAGGTAAATTATTATTTTTTTACTTCGTAATAATCTAGGCCTCGCTACTACCACACATTTCATTGCCAGAGGTATGAGTTGATGTTGCTGACTTTTTGTCATTTTGTGCATGAATTATTAGGTACTGACACGTAATCCGCTTCATGCAGTAAAACGCAAGTGAAATCAACTGTGAACTCAAAGCATACTCAGAATGTGGAACTAGTAACTGTAATGTGCCACAATAATTGCTGAGAATGTGCAGATGTAGTGAGGAGCAGGGGCATATCTAGGAATTCGAAGAGGGGGATGTTGGGGGGCGTGAAGCGCTCCACGATTTTGGTCACACCCACTTTTTTACACCAAAAAACAGCGTTTACCTTCATTTTCATCAAATACGGGTAGGGTCAAAATAATTTTAAGCATACTGATTGCTCCCTAAAGTACTATAAACTGCTGAAATCATGATCAGGGGGCTGTTGAGAGGTTTGATAGTGATGAGACTTCAGTAATTTTTCCGAGCCCAGCCATGAGGGGGGTCTCAAGCCCCCTCAGCCCCCTCCCCTAGATACGCCACTGAGGAGTTGTACTTGCTGTGACTATTATATGCTTTTATGCATATGGCACTCATAGGCTAATTAGCTAAAATAGAAAATTTATTTTTGCTGCTTTAATAAAACACATATCCTAATGATTATTAAGCATCTCATTTACATGGATTTGGTAGATAGATTTATGCCTATTTGAAATTATCACAGCTCTTTGGAACCCTAGGAAAAATCCCAAGTGGTTACAAATGTATGCAGTTCCATTAGAGATGTGTGTATTGGCTTTAACGTACGAAAGCTAGTGGTATTGTGATATTGTCCCCCTTATCATACACACACACATACACACACCCTCCCAAAATTTCTCATGCATATGAGTGCATGTATGTATGTACAAAAGTGGCTTCTGTTTTTATTGTTACAAATATTTCCCATATCATCCCACACACACACACCCACACACACACCTTGAGTTGAGCACTGAAAGTACAGTGACAAGCAAAGATCTGAAGTTAAAACATGTATGATGTTGTGGCTAGGAACCACTGACTCATAGTTCCACTTTTCAGATGCTATAGAGCCAAAGAATTGTCAAATTAAAATTACATTCAGTTACCTTATAGTGGATTAATTTATTATTGTGGTTTTTGTGGTAAAATCAGTTGACCAAAGTCTAACTGTCTCTTTTAAGTACAGTGATTTTTCTAGTTTATGATTGTTTTATACACACACATCACATCATGAATATTATAGCTACCATATAGCGGAAAATTTTCGTGGCCCAAAATTTTCGTGGATTCGTCCAAAAATCAATTTCGTGGCTTTAATTTTTGTGGTTTTCTACAATTCGGCCATTTTAAACCGTATAAAATCGATTTTCGCGGATTTTATTTTCGTGGGTTTCGAAAAAAACGCGAAATCCACGAAAATTTTGGGCCACGAAAATTTTCCGCTATACGGTATTGAATAAAATATATTAATGCATGTGCACTTACTTCCATTGTTCTCTTTATCATTAGTGACTGGATAAAGAGAACTACTTGACTCTAACCTCGGAATTATAATATTTATTCGAGATGATTGATATCTCTCAATGGAGAGCTAGTATTGGACTGTGGAACTACTGTCAAGCTGCCTCCAGTAGACCAGCTAATGGCTGCCATTCTCACTCATTCAAAGCTGCAGTAGACAGCAAGTCAGGCAGCCTTAGACTAGAAGAGAAAACATCTAAACTGCCAGCAGCTCTGTCTTTTATTGTTTCTCTTCTTCTATCTTTATTGAGATATATGAAGCTCAATTTTATTCCTCCAACAGGTAAACAAACTAACAGTATATAATATTAGCATACAATGTATATATTTACAATAGGTATAATTACTATTGCTGTTATGATCCACTGCCTCCAGTCATTAGTCTTGTTTATAGCTACTATTGGCAGTAGCTCTGACCTGATCTACTATTTGGTTTTACTTCTTCTCCTCCTCTTATCAGGAGATGTTGAACTCAATCCTGGTCCTATAACTGGTAACTGAACATACACTTAATACAACCCTCATTATATAACTGATATACTATATACTGCAGATAATCCAAAGGATATATTAAGGACTCATTCTAGTAAACTCACTAAAGAAATTTCAAATAATCTCTACGAAATAACAACTGAATTACATGCTAATGGGTTAATACCACAACAAATAGTTGATGATGTACTTGTAATGGGAGTTATGACTGATTATACTAAAGCAATGAAGTTGATAAGTGTATTACGTGGACAGTTGGAATCCTCTCTTAACCCAGAGCAGTATCTTATTGATATATGTCTTGTATTAAACCAACAACATCGTACACTAACAGATATTGCTACCTCTATATTACACCAATTAGGTGAGTGTGTGTGTACGTTATCAGTGATCAATATAGTCATTATATCTCAATACATTAGGTCAGTCTATACCTGATAATGTCAGTTCACATCCTGTACTACCATCACCAGTTGATATATCCAATACACCAGTTACTGATATAAGAGGTAATAAATTATTTAATGTGCATACATTGTTTTTATGTACGGTATCTTGATCAATATAGGTCAGTCTAATGTAGCTAAACCCGTTAGTTCAATACCTGATGCTGTTCAAGGATATGCTGACAGTATGAGACAACACTACAAACACCAACCTATTGTTGCTACAGACTGGCCACCAAGAATTGGAAAAGATTTCTTTGGAAGACTAGCACTAGTAGAAAAACTAGATTCCAGCACACAAGCAGAATCAGCTTGGCATATGCTTAGAGGAAAAGTTGATAAAATAGTTAAACTAAGTGAAAACAAAAAGATAAGTGTTGAAGATGTACTCGAACCCACATATAGTAGATCTCTGCCTCTCAGAGTAGTAATAGACGGTCCTCCTGGTATTGGCAAGACCACAATCTGTCGTAAATTGTTGAATATGTGGTCCAATGGACTATTTGTACACAAGCAGTATGACTTGGTACTTTACTGTCCTTTAAGAAATAGCAAGATAGCTACAGCTACTACACTAGCTGACCTGTTTGTGCATCAACGATACGAAGTTCCCATGGTAGCTGAATGGTTTGAGAAAACAAATGGAAAAGGATTACTGATAATTTTTGATGGTTGGGATGAACTAAGTGACCAACTCAGACAGTCTTCATTAGCTGCTAGCATCTTTTGTAAGGAAAAGTTAGACCAATGTTCAGTAATTGTTGCCTCTCGTAGCTATGCCTCCTCTTCACTTTTGAAAATTTATACTCTCAGTAGACATGTTCAGGTCATTGGGTTTTCTGAGGAAGAAATATCAACAGTAATTATACAAACACTTCAAAAAGATACAAAACTAGCACAAGAACTCATTGATAAGAAAAGAAAAGATAAAGAAAATGACAAACTTTTCACAACTACTCAAAGCAGTAAGGACTCACAAATAGCAGTTAAACTCATTAATGATCTTCAAGTGCGAAATGATGTCCAATCATTGTGTTATATACCACTAGTCTGTTCCATGGTCATCTTAGTTTATTGTAAGGAAGGAGGAAACTTACCAGCAACTCTCACTCAACTGTATGAGAACTTTATCCTACAAACTATCAGAAGACATGTTAAAAGACATGACATTAACCCACATACTTTACGTAGTCTTTCTTCATTACCATCACACTTAGCTAAACCTTTACAAGAGATGTGTCAGTTAGCTTATACTAATCTGGCTAATACAACAATGACATTCTCTTCAGATCAACTGCAGTCACTGAGTGAGGCACTCAAGGAAGACTATTTTGGATTAATGACAAGATTCACAGAATATGATGAGGAGAAGTATCAGTTCCTTCACTTGAGTATACAGGAATTTCTAGCTGCATGGTGGATAGCTAAGCATGAGAAGAAGACAGAGGAAGTGTTTAAGGATCACTTTGATGATGATCACTTTTGAATGTGTCTGAGGTTTGTGGCAGGACTAACTCACCTTGAACATGAAAGCTATCAACAGTACTTTATTATGCAACAACTTGACTTACAGTGTAAGAGGAAACCATTGTTTGGATTTGAGACTTATCATCTCTCCTACTTCTATCAAAATCCTGAGATTAGATGGTATGATCATATCAGACCTGATGATTTTGAAAGTGTTCCCATTCTTCTTCTTCAACTCCTGTATGAATCACAGAACGCAACATTATGTCAAGTATTAGCACAATCCATCGAAAACCACTCACTGTGTCTGGATAGGGATGGACTATCATTATCTTTGTTTGACTGGTTGTGTCTCAGTTATTGTATAAACAACTCCAATACAACATTACACCTGAAGGATGTCCATAAAGAACTACCATCTGAACATACCATAATACTACAGACCCAGTGTAAGAGACTGGAGGTAAGGTTGTTTAAACCCACTGAAGAATTAATACATGAAGTATTACAACCATCACTTTTATACAGTATTCAGGAGTGCTACTGTGTATTATTAGGAGGTCATTATGTTCCCTGTATTGCATTATTACAGTTCCTCAATCTTCCTCAATTGAAGATACTGCATTCAATAATGGGCCAACCTACTATACCAACAGTTGACAATACATACTACACAGACAAGTGCACTGAACTTGAGAAATGTATAGAAATGAATTCAACACTACAAGAAATGAAGGTTATGTATAATGATTTTAATGAAATAACAAGTACCATTACCAGTGTCATTAAAGGAGTAACAAGAAATAAAACAATTAGATCATTATCAATACATGTTAGGGACGATTTTCCTCCTCCTCTACCTAATGGAGTAATAGAGCAGTTACTAAAGGACAACAACACATTACAAGCTCTCTCGCTGTACATACCTGATGAACTTCTACCATTATCACTGAATATAGTAGAGGTGAACACACCACTGACTGCTCTAGAGATAGGAGGAGGATGGATTAGTAATGAACTAATAACATCGCTCCTTCCACATATCAAAGGATTACACTGTCTTATACTAAATGATCCATACCCACCACATCCTCTATTTCTTTCTCATCCCAGTCTGCATACACTTAATTTACCACTAGACACAGCTGAGAGTGCTATTGAACTATTTACTATTCTACAAACCAATACTACACTTAAAGCTCTGAGTGTGGTGATAAAGGAGGAGAGAGTATATACCAGCAGTATGGGTACTAGTCTACAAGACATGCTAACACAAAACAAAACACTTAAATACCTTGAAATTGATGGTTACAAGCACATGCACATTCTTTTTGGTGACATTCACATTCCAAGTTCATTCCTGTCCTTCCTAACAAGAGGTCTCCAGCATAACGCTAGTCTTCAGCAATTGAGTGTATCCATTCCACTGAATGAAGAGATAAGCACTTTTATTAATGTCATCTCTCAAAAGAACAATCTCACAGAACTCAACATTAACTTTGAACCACATCAGTCATACAGTAACTGTAGTTATGAAAAGCAGGAACAAATAATGACACCATTGTTTTATGAACAGGTACTACCTGCTGTTACTAACATGCTACAGTCACATACAACCATCAGACTATTGAAGATAGAGTGTGAAGACATTGCTGAGTCATCTCGACGTTACTGGATAGAAATAGTACAACATTTATATGAAACTATCTTCACCCACCAATCACTTGAATACATTGAGATTAGTATTAGATATACTATTCCTCCTCATATCCTGTGGGTTACTCTTAAAGATCAAACATTGATTGATAAACACAAGAAAGAACAACCACACAAACCACTACCAATAGTGAACTTGACATAATTATTATTATTACAAGCACATTAATTAATTATGTTATTTAGTTAGTTAGTTTACAGTTCTTCATTATCTATTATTTCCTTATTCTTCTCTTCTGCATATTCTATCTACTTTTGTGCATATTGATTAAATTTATGATCTTTTAATGCTTTATGTATGCCAATTAGAAGTTAGTTATGTCCAGATATTCTCCATTTGATGGCAAAGTATAAGTCATACAGAAGTATAAGTCAAAGTATAAGTCACTGACACAGACAATAATAATGTCTTCCTACAGTTTTGTGAGGGCATTGCATTATCAATACAAGTACACCAAAATTGGAAGTAAAGAATCAAAAAGAGGTCAATGGTGGAAGAGAAAGAAGAAAGTAGTGTATCTTCCAATCATCAATATTGATTCACTTAGGGGCATAATGTCAGGGCAAGGCTGGAAGTGGTACAAGGACACTAAATAGTTAATGTATTTTCACTTTTGTTATTATTTTTTTTGCATTACATTGTAAATTCAACAGTTAATTAAGTGATGAAACATATAATTACTGCAAGTTTTCTATTTGTCCTACAATTGAAACACTCTGTGGCAAGTATCTGCATGTATTTGAAATTAGTGCAAATTCCAAAAAGTTTAAAATTGTATAGAAAAGTCACTCTAAATGTAAAATAGATCTATATGTATGTTACTAATACTTTTCTAACTACAGTAATTGCTACTACTACATGTATATGAAATATTTTTATTTAATTGTTATTAGCAAAAGTGCATGATGTTAGCTATAGTCTTGTTTTGATAGGAAGTCACAAACTGTTTTCACTTCTTCTGCAGTGATGCTATACTGAGCTCTTGCTTGTATCTCTGTACCACTGACATCCATAAATACATCAATGTGCCTCTCCTCCCTTGGTATATTATCAGGATTAGGAATATCAAGTATTAGCTCTCCAATCTTACATACTGTTAGTTTACCTTCTTTGTCTATTACATACTGAACTCCATGATCTGCTGTAGAGTATATAGGAATGTGTACTTGAGTATAGCTTTAGAGGTATATAAGTTGTTTTATATATGTCATCCTTTATTACTTCTTCTTTGAGTATGAATACCTTAAAGACATGTTTACAACATTGCTTACCATCTTCTTCATCTATTAACATGCATGTAATGTTCATCATGTATTTCTGGGTTGAATACAGGCCCAACATTTATCCCATAAGTAGCATCAGCAACACGTGATTGGATTATGCTAGGATCTTTCCTCCACATTACTGCTCCAGATACAACAGCAAGATCTGGTTGTACAGGACACACTATATTATCATAAAGCATGCCATGATGCTGAGCCATTGCTTCTTCTATTTTTTGACTGACAAACCTACACCCTCCAAACCCTCCTACTAGATAAACTGTATCAATATGATCTGTTAGCTCATCAATTGCTGCTCTCACGATGCACTCAAGGATCTTATCTATTGTGGGTACCTCTTCAAATAAATTGTACCCTATGATTAACGAATCATTTGTTGGATTATAATGCATATTCAGCTTCTTTGCTTCCTTAAGAGATATCATTGCCATAGTTGCCTGGTAAAAGGTCTTGGTAATGATAATGCTATTTTTCTGAGACCTTCTATTGCATTTCCAAATATTATTTTCTGTTCTTCGAACTTTTCGTAAAATAGCCCATATAGTGTAGTTTTGGCACTAATGGGATCAGATTTCAATAAAATATGAAAACCTTTATCATTTATTATTTCTTGTAGTAATTCTGATAATGCTTCATTGATGGTTGTTCCTCCCCAGGTGTTACCCATTGGTGGTAATACTTCACTAATTCTCCCATTACTCTTATCATGTACAGTAATATCAACTGTACCTCCTCCTATATCAACTACCATATATCTCTGTGGAGGTTTTCCTGATACTTCTGACTTATGCTGTGCATATATAGCAGCTACTTCTGGTTCTAGAGCTAATGATAGCTTTTCAGGATTAACCTCCTCTGGACATGGTAAAGGAGAGCCAAATGGAGTGAACCTTGTTATACCAGGAGCATCAGAAGTCATGCAGACCAGCCTATCATATTAATATAATAAAATACAAAGCATGCATGTATTATGTTACCATATAAGCAGCTTCTCTCATCATTCTTCTTGCTCTTGCTTTCCATATAGCAGGAACAGTAATGACCCAATCAAAATCAGTTGACTTGTAGACTCCTTTCAGATGATCAGTCAGTAGCTTCTCCTTGAGGAGTTTTATTGTAAAAGCTATAACTTCAATAAGATAATATGATCCTCCATTAAGTGAAGGGACTTCAGTATCATGATTTAGTGACTGGGGAATACAGTTATTAAATTAAATATTAGAGCACTATTAACTCACTTTATCTCTCTGTAGCAATAGTTTTATTCTTTCAAAGTACACAAATTCTTTAGCATCTTCCTTAGCTATGCCATTATATGTGCTCTGTGCTTGATGTCCAATCCCAATGACTCTGTATTGATTCCCTTCTTGTTCCTTCATGATTAGTATTGAGTTAGGGACCCTTTCCATTGTGCTGTGAAGTGGTAGGACTTTTACACCTCCTCCTGTTGTTGGAGTGGTATATGCTACTGATAGTGATGATGTTCCAAAGTCAATAGCTGCTATGCAATTGCTTCTCTTTAGCACAGGAGCTGGCTGATTTTGGTATCTTCTCAGCTCTTGATAGTGGCAGTGGTCCCTTAGATAAAGCCATGATGAATTTTTATGATTGTAAGGGCTGCTATCAACATGAAAGTTTATGCTATTAATAGTACAATACTCTATTTATACTGTGTCATCATGCATGCATGACGCATCATAGTGCAGGGTCATGCAGTAGTCAAGCAGGGAGGTATGGCTTTCACTCAACATAACTTTAAATTTAAAAACTAAGGCTTATGTTCAACTCTTTTTGAAACAACTTATTAGGTTATTATTGATAAGCTAAGATTAGTTGAATTTTAGCAGGTATATATATATATATATATATATATATATATATATATATATATATATATATATATATGATTAAGTAATGATTGACCATGCATCCCCACTATGAATATACTGATGAACCATGTTTCTGTATTTTAGTATTTATGATTACACTGCCTAACATTATGACTTCTTTACCCTTAATTTAATGAACTCAGGAAACAGTTCAATTTATTGTCTGAAGTTTAGTGACAAGCATTTCACCTGTAGATCTAATGTAAATGATACTTGTATATCTAGTTTGTATTAGATCTTACTAAGAAAAATATTCATATTATAATCACTAATGAAAGAGAAATTCATCTCCGTTATTGATCTGTAATTGAAATGAAGTATTATTTATCATTAATATTATTATTATTTACCTTATTTGGCAGCACTTTATTTTGTGGTTATCTATAGTAATGGTACACACAGGACTACTTTTAATTGTCCTGTACCAACATTTATACAATGTTGCCCTTTTGCATTCATCATTATTCTCCCCTGCTATTGTGTCTTAGTATAGTTTATATAGGAGTTAGTAGTCTATAAAAATTATTTTTATAAGCTTTTGCAACAGATGTTATTAGAAATGAACTCTAGCTGTCATGCAGGCCTTATACGTATAAGGTCTATACTCAATAGTGGAAGTTGACAGTGACATGGCAAGTTAGTTTAATCTGTTGCAATTTTTCACATAATGTACTGGTACAGGAGCCGCTTTTTATTTTGTCAACTCTCTCCAGTGGCTTCAGTGGTCCCTTAGATACAACCATGATGAGATACATGTATTAACATTACTGTGAATAGTAGAGTTAAATAAATCTATACAATTCTAGAAATTATTGCAAATTTTCCTTGTTTATATAATTTCCTTTTTGAGTTCCTGGTTTAACAGCCGTATGCATAATTACGATAATTTTGTTTTAGTTCATGTATAGTCTATCAATGTATATCCTGGTAAATGTCATTAATTTATATTTATTTGATTTATAGTTGCCAATTTGCTACATGTGGTGCTAGTTTTTGCTAAAAAATTTATATTCAGAACTAAACTAAAGTAAAAATTATTAGTAAACAAATTTCAAAATTTTCAAAATGCACATAAAAGTCTATATTAGTACTAATACTAATACTCTAAACTACAGTTATTGTTATCAGTCATGTTTTGATAAAAAGTCACAAACTGTTTTCACTTCTTCTCCAGTGATACTGTACTGAGCCCTTGCTTGTATCTCTGTACCACTGAAATCCATATATACATCGTACTCTCTCTCCTCCCTTGGTATATTATCAGGGTTAGGAATATCAAGTACCAGTTTACCAATCTTATGTACTGTTGTTTTACCTTCCTTATCCCTTACATACTGAACTCCATCATCTGTTGTACAATATATAGAGATATTAACTTGTTTGTAACTTTGATAACCAGGTATAAATGTAGCTTTATATACTTCATTCTTTATAATGTCTCCTTTAAGTACAAATACTTTTAAAATATCACTACAACACTGTTTACCAAAATTACCATCTTCGTGTATATACTTGTAATATTCATCGTGTAATGATGGATCAAATAAAGAAGTAACACTTGTCCCATAAGTAGCATCAGCAACACGTGATTGGATTATGTTAGGATCTTTCTTCCACATTACTGCTCCTAATACAACAGCAAGATCTGAATGTTGAGGACACACTATATTATCATAAAGCATGCCACGATGCTGAGCAATACCTTCTTCTATCTTTTGACTAACAAACCTACACCCTCCAAACCCTCCTACTAGATAAATTGTATCAATATGATCTGTTAGCTCATCAAATGCTGCTGTCACACACTCTATGATCTTGTCTATTGTTAATTGGAACACCTTCTCTTCTAATAGATGATATCCTATGCTTAATGAATTATCTCCTGGATCATAATGCATATTCATCTTGTTTGCTTGACGAAGTTTCTTATTGCCATAAAATTTCACAAAGGATGGTGGCAACGTCAGTGCTACTTCATGAATGCCTTCAGTTGCATCTCCAAATATTTTTTTATGCTTTTCAAACTCTTCGTAGAAAAACTTATTTAATGTAGCTTTGGCATTTGTGGGATTGGACTTGAAAAAAGACACAAAACCTTTGTCTTTTGCTATTTCTTCCAGTAATGTTGATAATGCTTCATTGATGGTTGTTCCTCCCCAAGTGTTACCCATTGGTGGTAATACTACACTATTTCTCCCATTACTCTTGTCATGTACAGTAATATCAACTGTACCTCCTCCTATATCAACTACCATATATCTCTGTGGAGGCATTCCTGATACTTCTGACTGATGCTGTGCATATATAGCAGCTACTTCTGGTTCTAGAGCTAATGATAGCTTCTCAGGATTAACCTCCTCTGGACGTGGTAAAGGAGAACCAACTGGAGTGAACTTAGTTATACCAGGACCATCAGAAGTCAGGCCAGCCTATCATATTAGCATAATGAAATACAAAGCATGTATTAGGTTACCATATAAGCAGCTTCTCTCATCATTCTTCTTGCTCTTGCTTTCCATATAGCAGGGACAGTAATGACCCAATCAAAATCAGTTGACTTGTAGACTCCTTTCAGATGATCAGTCAGTAGCTTCTCCATGAGATGTTTTAGTGTAAAAGCTATAACTTCAATAAGATAATAAGATCCACCAGTGAATGAAGAGACCTCATTTGTATAATCTACTAACTATATATATTACAATAGTGAGCAGTACTCATTGTTATAGACATATATACTAACTTTATCTCTTTCTAGTAAACTCTTTATTCTTTCAAAATAAATGAAGTTGTTGGCATTTTTCTTTATATCACTATACATATTCTGTGCTTGAAGTCCAATCCCAATGACTTTGTACTGCTGGTTCTCCTGGTCTATAGTAATTAGTATTGAGTTTGGGACCCTTTCCAGTGTACTGTGAAGTGGCAGAACTTGCAAATCGCTTCTTGTTGTTGGAGTGGTATATGCTACTGATAGTGATGATGTTCCAAAGTCAATAGCTGCTATGCAATTGCTTCTCTGTATCACAGCATTCACAGGAGATGGTTTCAGTATCTTCTCAGCTCTTGACAGTGGTGCTAATTGTTCCTTTGATAGCTAAATGCTATGATTGTTAGGGCTGTATAATACTTATATGGGTCTTTTTATGCATAGCGCTATTGATAGCATAACTATAAGTGCAATTAAAATAAACTGTGAATAGTAGAGGTGAATGTACTTAATGCTGACAAAAAACATGTTTACACTTAATATCCTATTCGCCCTGAAATGCACACACAAAATATATACAATAAATACAATAAGCCCTGCAAATCACCCCAACAAAGGGGGAAAAGAGGGAAGGGTTGGTAACATTGTATGGGCCACACCCCCTAAGCTTGCTTTGCCTGGTTGTAAATGGTGGTCAAACTGAACCCAAGGCTTACGTACTAG